TGTCTCAACTGCACAGTGTACGTATGCTCACACGGGTATTCGCAGACTTTGTCTCTAAATTGCGGCCGCGGCATACCACTCCTTGTGTTAGTTCATGACATTAAAAATCAAGCTGGTTTCCCTGATACCCAGATTGCTAAACTGTACCTAATTCTGTCGTGGTAAAAAATGTGCTCGAATCAGGCGGAAAGGGGCCTAAAATGCTATGCCTCCTTTGGTGTGATACGAAACGTGTTTGCCGTGCTTATGACATGCTTGTGTATTTTTATTTGCTGGCAGAGTATAACTTTCCTCGATATGAGGAACTCAAAGACGTCTTTGCTCATTTCAACTGCGAGCGTGGAATGCAAGTTCCAAATGACACTGACTCTTTGAAAATTTTGCTCTGTGAATGATGAGAATGATCAGAAATAACCATTTTCTATAAACCTAAAATTGGATTGACCTTCGTCGTGACCTTGGCATTTTTTTTTGTCGCATTTAACGCCATGTTTCTCTGTAGTGCTGCCCTTCACGTGGCATCTGCGTAGCTTTGACTTTTTTGTGAAAACGTGCCACATCATGGGGCTTTTTTACTGGATTTTGTGACCATCAGCCATGTGTTTAAATCATGTGCTTTAGCAATAAGATTGCCTGAGATTAGTTTAAAAGTTTCTGTTATCGATCGCTTATTTATGAATCTTGATGATGTTATTGCATGTCAATCCAAAACATGCCAAATTTGCTCGTCTAAAAATGACTTATCATTCACCAGTGAGCGGCTGTAGTCCAAATCGGTCTGAATCGGGTTTCAGTTGCCCATAGTCTCGGTTTCGATTGACACACTAGTGCCTACCGAAACCCAGCCTGCTGAGGGCACAGAGGGACGCTTGGCCCGGCCTGTAGAAAGCCTGCCGAGACCACGGTGGCCATCTTGGGACGCATCAGCTGAAATGTGTGAGGAGTGTGCTCAGACCACAGAAGCTACCTTAGACGCTTGGCACAGGCTCTTTACGGGAAGCTACTGAAGTTATAGCGGAGGCCGTCGGCCGACTTAGGATATGATGTCTGTGCAGCGTGCCGACCACCGCGGCTGGGAAACCAGAAGACCGGAGTTCGATTCCCCGCGGTATCCGCCCTTCCTGTCAGGGTGAGAGACAGGCGACTCCAGACAGCCCGAGCAGCTGAGCGCGCTGTTAAATTCCAATGACGACGATCGACACCCGCGGTTGACAACTATTGCATCGCCAGTAATCCGGTCAAGCTTAACCGGGATGTCCAGATCGACGGCTTGACCAATGAAAGCAAATGTCCCTTGAGCCAAGCACGAGCTAATGATCCTTGAGTTGGCCTGGCTCAAGGGCCATTAACGCGCGCGTATGGGTGGCACAAAAACCGGCGAAGCAAAGGCGATAACGGTGAGCCCGGCTGCGTAAGCCTGACCTGTTGTATCGGCATCATCCCGAACAGATCCCACTTAGTGCTAACGATGCAATTTCAGTACGTTTCCCGAATTCACATCAAGCTCATTTTTTGGTAGCTAATATCTGTCAGCATCAAGAAAAGTTCTTCAATACAAAATTTGCTCCAATATGACAGCAACCGACAGGCGTACGATCATCCTTTTCGGAATATTGCGTACCGTGCAGGGCCGCACGCAGCGCTTGCTAAGGGAAGTCTCTAGTGACGTCACGCTAACGTTGAGCGGATGGGGCGCTGAAATCGGCGGACGTTGCTACCCCTATTCAATGGTCTTGTCTACCGTGCCCATGCCTACACCTGTCAGAGGCGCCCCATATTCCGTGCAGATTCACTCGAACGACCGAGGAAAACATTTTTTGTCATAGCTTGGCCCTTGCCTTCTGAAGTCGTCCCACCCTTAGATCTTCACCCGCACTCTCAAACTAATGCACCTAGCCGGCGGGCTACCGACAGAACAACAGCCAGGGCCTAGTATGGGCAGGGGGAGGGCATCAGCGTAGACGAACGGCACCTGGTTGATGGGAAGCCTTATCCCTATTTTTCCATGGGGTATTATTTTCTCCTTGTATTTTCCCTTTCTAGACGTAAACTTCAGTGCAGATACGAGAGACAAAACATATCCATAAGAACAGTTGTTTGCTCTATTTCTTGTTGGCGGACGAAGAGAACGTGAAAGTAGATGTGTGATGATGTTGCGGCCATAACCCTTTGTCGAGACAGTACAGCAGTTGAATGAATACTGAAGTAAAACCGCTCGCGAATCCTGTTCGATGCTTTTATTTTCGAAACAATGAGCCACAATTTTAACAGGTCACCAGCATACCTCCCAAATATCATACTGAAAATATTATAGTAATTGCCACTACCAGGCAAGGACTACCTCGTAGCAATTGCCACCCATTATTTGAAGTGGTGGCGCTACGATTCAATGTTGTAACGAAAGATGCAAATAATAAAATCCAAACACATTGTCAGGTTAATACACGTTTCTCATCGAGGTACTAATCCCACTAATTGGCCTGACACGAGAGGCCATGGCAGGGGCAATTGGAACACTTCACGGGTTGGATATTCAGGATCCGGTCCTTTCCAATCCGGGTAGTCCGGATACAATCCGCACGCCAATCCGCTTTTCCCAGATTTCTTAACCCAATCAGGTCGGGTCTGCGTTTCCAAACAAATTCATGAAATGAATCCATGCCAATCCGCTTCCACATTAAGAACATTTGAGAGCTTCAACAGCAAATTTGGTTCATCTGTGTATCCCAAACTGAAGAAAGTTGTTGATTTCCATCGTAGACAGATATGCAGTAAGTTGCCATGCACCAGTGGGTGCTAAGACACTCAGCACAGCTTTTTGCCTGCTAGAAATGCAATCTTGCATGAAGATCAGAACAAACAAGGTCCCTTATATAAGTATCAATACCACAACTATTTTGGTCCCTTATTCACAAGTACCACCGCATCGAAACGGCCAAAATCACTTCTGCTTTCAATAAGCTAAGGGCATGAGTAAAGCATCGAACATTTTCACGCTCCAGGTTAGGTGCAGCATACCTACACATGTTACCACACAATTTCAGCGTCACCCAGTTCACAAGTGCAGGACGACGCTCATCTAGCTCATCATCTGAAGAACTAGAACGACCATCTCACCTCATAGATGATACTTCAGGTGTGTATCAATTCTGGGGCACCCCAAATGATCAGGCAGCCTCGACTGCGACCGTTATTTCGTGATGGATTACCGGCGACTTTCCTGATGGATTACCGGCGACTTTCCTGATGGATTACCGGCGACGTCAACATTATAGTGTATGTGGAGGAAAATTGAAATACCATTGTAACGAAACAAATACCGTCATAACAACCGATGTGCCGTGCACAACTTTTGTGATCTGAATCGAGTGTTTGCTTTAAGTCCGTGTGCTGAGGGAAGCCCACGCCTGAAATATAGATTCGTTTTTCTGGACTTAATCATTGTATTATAAGCACAAGGTAATTCTGATTTTCCTCCACATACGTCATCATGTCGCTCATCCCATGAACATGATCTAATAAACATTATAATACGCTCGTGCGACCGTCCAGTGCCTGCGGCACCTGCTCTTACATCCAGGGGGATGAGCCAGTTGGGTCACTGAATCCTACTGTTAACATGTCGGCTATCACCAAATCTGCATTTTTTGCTCGTGCTGGAAAAATGCAACAAATGTTCACCACGAACACGACGTAATGACAGAATACCCATTGTTTGTGCTGCTATAGCTGTATGCGCTCTGTGTGTGTTGTGTTTGTACTCTATATTACTGCTAATTTGTTTAGAGGATTAACTTCAAATTTCACAGGCGAAATGCACACTCCAGTCTAGCCTTTCAGGGGGACAAGTGGACAGTTTAAAATCATTGATTGAAAAGGCTTTGGAACACATTATTTCCCGATACACACGCCCGCCGGCTGTGTGGTAGCTGTGGTAGAGAATGACGTGCAGCTCAATCGAAACTGTCTCGTCGGACGCTGATATTTTCGCTCTTAAGTTAGATCCCCCATATTCATGTTGAGGAACCCCCATACTTTTCCCGGGCTGAGAGCCCTGTAGGTAAAAAATCAGGGGCCCACTCCATTCTCCTGTAAGGGACTGAATGTTCTTTCCTTCCACGCCCAGGGGCGTCTACCAGCTGTTGTCTGGTTACAAAGCGGCTTAGTCCCTACTCGACTCAGAGACCCGCAGAGGCTTCATGATAAATCGGTCGCTTCCATGAGGGTGACCGGGGAAGCTGGTCCAGGTCGATGCAAAGGCCCTCACTGGTGCAATAGCAGAGAGAGGTCTTGCCAGCACAGAGGGAGGTCCAATAACTGACACAGAGACCCCAGTGCGGGTCCTCGGTCCGCTGACTGAAACACGACGGAGGGCCCCCGGCTTGAAACCTTTCTTTAGTTTCATCGTGGGTCAAAGGGCCCGATCAACGCAAGAGGCCCTTTGACATTCCGGATCCCGTCCCCGTCCCTGTACAGTGAACGTGTCCCTGGCCAACTCGGACTCCGCGCAGACACATGCTATCCTGTAAGGCACCCTGGCCCGCAACCGACTCGGAGGTTTTTCATTGTCTTGTGACCCCGACCTGTGCAGAAGGTTTTCTGACTGGTAATCGCCCGCTCCGGCCATTTCCCTGCGTAGGAAACGGGCTCCCAGGCCGATACGGGCGACCATTCGGTATTGACAGCCTAGCCGACAGAACCATACTTCTTATTCCTTTGCGGCCTTCGGCCAGCTCTTCGGCGCCCTCGGCTTTTGCAGTCCGGCCATTTGTCGTTTGTCCGGAAAGGACCCCCGGACCGCTCGGGACCTGAGGACAGTTTAGGGTCTGGTCAGCCATCTCCCCTCCTCCCCTTCACCGCCGGCTAACCGGAGCACGGGTCGGGCTGGTCCTGGCCAGGCCGACCAGCCCGCACAGGCCTGGTTCGGTTGCCGTCCGCCAGGGGCACTGCTGGCGCGCGGCCGTCGCTGCGCCGCGCGGTGGCATCGGTCAGTGTCGCCGCCGGCACCGGGAGCTGTGTGGTGCTCGTAGGGTTGCGTGCGAGCGAACGCCCGAAGGTCCGTCTGCTGCGCCCGCGTAGGATGAGCCCCGAGCCGCTGTGAACAGGTAAGCAGCCGCACTGGACGTCAATTTTTGTATATGGTGGGTGACGAGTGTCACCTATTCTTAAATCGGCGTGCGCAATTCTTAATTTGAATCGCACGTTTATCAGGAATGCATTTCTCCCACACGAGCAGGTGTGGAAGGCGGGTGAGCTTTCGCTTGAGAGCTGTGCCGAGTATTGGCTCATGCGCGTCTCGTTAGTTAAATCAACTGCATTAGAATATGCGCGATGACGATTATACCAATGGGCTTACACGCCTATAATACGCCCGTACGAAAGATATTCACTCGACCCTGTTTGAAGCGGCCCAGCCTCGTGGGAAATGAATTATAAATGGCTCGACGGCAGAGCACCCGAGGTGTTTATGACCAGGACGTGGGGCTGACGGCAGCCGTGTTAAGTATCCGACATAGATGCGCTGAAGCGGCATAATGACCCTGCTGAATGCACGTGGTAAGTGGCCGTCGGAGTCGCAAAATGGTCGATTATTCCCCGGTCGTTTTTCATTGGACGCATGTCAGGGTGGGTCGTATTTTGCCGTCTCCGGACAGCCGGACTGGGCAGTGTCCGTGCATCGCGGGTGAGTGGTCGTCGGACGCCATCGCGACGAACGCCGCGGCCGTGCTGTCGACTTCGACATCGGGTGCAGGCATCGGCCAAACCGTACCGCACCAGCCGGCTTGCGGCATATGGGGCGCGATCGGGCCCGCTGTCGGCCCGATCGGGCCCGCTTTTTCTCGACATCTAATATGTTCAGCGGTGCGCTGTCGCGGCGCATCCGGCGTCGGCTTCGACTGCAGCTATTCTGACTCACACTCCGTCCTCCGGCGTTACACTCTTCGCGACAGTGCCTTCGCACTAACTCCGGGGGGAGAGGGGAGGGGAGGAAGGCGGTATGCAGGCCAGTTGTCTGTCCAGTCGCTTGGAACGATATCCGTCGTGATAACAACGTGCAAATTTTGGAAGAATGATAGCTGGAAAACAAATGGTCGTATGCAGGAGAAAGGAAACAGGAAAATAACACCCTTGTCAAAACGTGTTTATAACTGAGTACATGTGGAGTAAGTTGGATGGCGTTTGCTTATATGTGAAAAGCAGGCATAAGCCTAAATTTTCATACCCAAAGGCAGGGTTCTTGTTGGGATAGTGAAAAGGGGGAAGGTAACTGAGTGGTAGATGGTATTGTACATGTATGGACAGGTACCTTAACGTGTCCACCGTATCCGTATCCACCGTAACTGAAACACATCCAAAATCCAGGTTTCAAAGGAGTGTCAAACTTTCAAAAGGAGGGGAGCAGGAACACGTGATTGGAGCGTGGCCCATGGCTGCGGCCGTCAGCAGACGGCTCGCTATTGGTGCTCACGGTCTACACAGTCGCACCACCCTCTCGCCGATCACGGGCGTTGGCATGTTTTTTCTTAGATACCTCTCGCTGTACATGCGTGATGGATGGAATGCAACATTCCATGTAAGGCCTTCATGCTCCAGCCCAACTTACCCCCATTCGTGGAAGCGCCTCTGCTTAAAGATGTTCCTTTTTCCTCCTTCAGGTACACAGGCGCGAAGCTTTCGCTATGTGATCCACTCCTGCATTAGCATACTGGCATCGGTTTAGGATCGACAGTTCGAGGCATTATAGTTTGTGGTTTTAAAGTATTTTTATATCCCTTTTCATAATACCTTAATACGGCTTTGTCACCGCATGCATTGATTGGTCATGCCAATGGGGCCTGATGTGTAACGTTTTGGATGCAGATACCAAGGCGTGTCTGGTATGAACGTGTCTAGTATGAACGCGAATTTCGGAACCATAATGCATTTCATGCAGTTTGAAAACTCCTCTTATTCGAGACCTGGAGTCGTCCGTGCCGCGCTTCCTGGTGACCTCTTTCACAGCCAAAATCATTTTGCAACCGGGTTATTCATTGACAGCTTCTTCTGTTGTTACCGCAAGGGAGCGTGCGTAGCGCTGATTTGTCACTATCTGGGTGCGAGCGCCAGTCGCTAGTGGTCGCTCCGAATGCCGGTCCCTGGAACCAGTGGCGAGTCCAGGTGGACGGGGGAGGGGGAGGGGGGGGCAAGGGGCCGTGCCCTCTTGGGCTCTTAAGGGGCGCCATAGACTCCGATGGGACCCATAACCGGCCGAATGGACGTAGTTTGTTAACACGCGCCCGGCCGGTTGATTATCCTCCGCTCCGGTGAGGGATCAGTTTGACCCCCTTGAGTTCTCAGAAACTAAGGAAGATAGAGACACCAAATTCACAGGGTGTGCTGGTCTTTACGTGGACTCACATGTGCCAAAATTGAAAGTGTCTAGGTCGTGGCATTCGGATCAAGTAGGGTCGAACAATGTCAAATTCCAGGATTGTGACCGAAGTCCCCCAGAACCTAGATATTTGTTTTAAACAAAAGATCACTGGCGCTCATTTTTGACCTTTTGAACGTCATGGTGACCAAAATAATAAAATAATGCCTTGGGTTTTGCATTTGAATAAGCGTCAAATATTATGCTAGGCAGTATGCGCCAAATTAAATGTTGACCTGGGTCATTTTTGGCCTGTGACCCATTCCGCCCTATAAGAAGTCCATGGTGGAAGATTTATAATGTGGTTCCTTCCATCGATAAACTGGAAAAGAACGTCAGAAGCTGCTCCATACAGCAAGCTTCGAGTAATAAAACGGGTTGGATTGACCTTGGTAGGAGCTTTATACCTGACCCTAGGTCACTGGAATTTGTTCATGCGATTGGCGTGTTGCCTAAAATACTATCACAGAGGTGTATGATGTCTAACATTCTATTGTTGCATGCGATGGAACGATTCGCTAGACATTGCCTTCGCTGGATCCGTAACCTGAATTTGACCTACCGTAGGTCAGTGACCATAGAGGGTACTTATAATTTCCCACCAAAGAATTCGTTATTCAGTTGTCTACAGCTATGCAAAATGTAGCGTGATTACACCGCGCCGTTTTGAAACCATCGCAGAAAACCTTCGGGGGTCAAATTGATCCCCATCCGAGCGCCTATCAACACAAAGCGCAACAACATTGACGTATTCGGACCTCCAGGCGATGAAGAACAGTGTCATGCGGAAGTGGAGGGCCGATGAGCAGTCACAAATAATCCTTCGCTGATTGAGAGGGCGGTGGTTGGAAATATTTTAAAGCTCATTGTTCTGTCCAGAGACCTTGCCGGGCCGTAAACGTCCACTTGCGGTGTTAGGCCGATCGCTGAGGAGCCTCCCACGTTGCCCCTGACTACCATGCGTTATCGGCTAGCATGCCGGGGCTCTCTTGATCGATCAGGAGTCCTCCACGTATCATTTCCATTCGCCCGAGGGGCTCCAAACGCCATTGCCGGGTCCCGTATGTTAACTTGCCGGGTAACCGTTGGGTCTCAGGCTCTCTCCACTTGCTCGAAGGGACTTGCGCCACTGCTGGGGCCAATGCACCGAGGCTCTCGATGTTCAGGAATCCTTCGTATTGGCCTTGGGCCATTTCCCTTTGATTTCATTTGCGGATGACCCTTCGCTCCTCTCGGGCCCTTATTGCTAACTTGCCCGGGCACTTTTGATCGTCCAGGGGCCCGCCGCAATGGTCCTAGGTACTTAACATTTGTTTGGAGGACCCTGCGCTGCTGTCCAGAGCCCCATACATGTATCTGCCAAGGTACTCGATCGCTCAAGGACATTTATTCGTGTACACTGGTCTGTGGTTCTTCCCATTTGATCGGAGGGCCATGCACCCTAGCTGGGGCCCTATATGCTAACATGCCGGGGCGCCCCCGGCTGGTCTTGGGTTTCCCATTTCATCAAAATATTTATCGGCCGAGACACATTTGAACAGTCCGGGTCCCTTCACCTTGGTCGTAGGCTCGTACGGTGAAGTGAGGACCTTACCCTGTTGCCGGAAGCCCCGCATGTGCTCGCGAGCGCCAGTGTGTTTCGCCTGCTCGTGTGTACGGGCCTGTCCAAATAGATTCATGAACACCAGCCCGAGGTCTGCACGATGGCAATCTCGTGGCGCCTAAGCCTTAGAGCAGCAGTTGGATATGCTCTAATGACTTTTTTACGCGCAATTGCCTATGATACTTTTACGCGCCGTCGTCGTCGTTTGTCATTTCCGTTGATTAGTTGGTTTCAGACTCGCACTTGTGTACTGCATTTTTGGTGCATCTTGAATGCTGGGGCATTTTATACTCCTTCATTAAATCCAAAACAAATGCATTATATTGGGAATGAGCCATCAGCTGATCACATCGGCCAGTCGACCAGCCGCCGGAAACCGGCCAGCTATTACCAACCTTGGAATCAAATGTGCTTGCTTCTGATGGAATTTAGTGGCAAATTCAAGATTTTTTAGCCATGAATAGCTTAGCTTCAAAACGACAAGGTCCACCATCATCTGAAAAAAATGAAGGCGCTCTAGAGATGTCCATATGTGCCATCTCTAGTTTTCTAGGATTGTGATCACGAAATTGCTTCCCGTATAAAAAGCATGCATACCAATTTTACATTTGAACCGTAAAAATCCGACCTTTCTCTTGAGGAACCCAAATATCAGGGCGCCCACAATGTTGCGTGGCCCCTCTGACGAATCCTGGATCCATCACTGCCTGGACCCGCCGTTGCACGCGCCATTTAGCAGATTTTTTGGCAAAATACACAGACAAGGTTTTTAGGAGAAGTCAGAAAGCTTCATTTACCAGCCCCACGCCATTCTTGTAAAACCAGCGAAAAGTTGAAGGGGCTACCCTGCAGTCCCTCCAGCTTTTTCGCTGATTTCGCAGCCGCTACGGAATCCGTCCCACCTGTTCGGAATAAAGGGAATGGATGTACCGAACAAATGATTTTGAGTCATACGTGTGTGGGAAGGTGAAACACACTCTGATCCATATTTTCCCAGTCATTTTCAGTTTTGCTGAAATTTTCGACAAGTTTGGCCTGATAGGGGCCACAATGGTAGGCGTTTCTTTCGTGTTTCCGTAGTAACGCTGGTT